AGCAGACTGGAAGCAAGCGCGGTGACTTGCGCACTGAGTACTTACTTGCACTTGATACGGATACGATCATGTCGGATCTAGCTGGCTGTTCGTATATCGTATCCCTCTACACGTGACAATTTTCGGCAGTAGATCCGGGAAACTCAACTTATCCTCTTCTCCAGCGACTGAGACCGAATACCGAAGGTTCTAGAACTACTTCATTTCTTGAAAAACTATGTCGAGTAAGATCTTCGGTTGACTTTGTCTTCAGCTGCCTCCCGATCGGCAGCAGCGTCGGATCGAGAGCAGTATAACTGTGCTCAGGTGTCTTTATTGGATGGCTTGCGATATTCTCGCGACATCGTTGTAACGAGTGCTGACTGTCTCATTTGAGACAAAGTCAGTGTACTTTACCACCAACATAATCGCCATATCAAATGCCCCGCAGCCCACATCGTCGATTCCCATCCCCTACGCCATCCTTGCCACGACCTAAACAACGACGCCAACTACCGCCTTTCGCATTCCTATCAACCGACGACCCCTTAAACACTAACCCTATCATCACCGCTCTCACCAACAGCAACGTGACCGACCCCAACGTTTCACCATGGCGATCGCACATTCACGTTTCGTACCGGCTTTGCCGGTCACTTGCGAATCCATCACACCAGGAACAGTACATCAGTGCCTAAAGTCTCGACATACACTCGCCTCATCCACCTTCACTGTCCCTATTGCTCACGAGCATTCACACGTCACATGGACTAACTTGATCATATACGCACCTATAAAAATCTCTGGTAGAAGGCCGTCGGTCAAACTCTATCGTTATGCATCTTCTTTCCAACTTATAAATAACATAAATCTGTCCCATGCACGGAATCGGTACCTCCCACATCAGTGGGAGGTCTGCGCTTTGGTTCCTTCTTCACCTGCCTGATAGAGCACTCTCACGCAGATGCAATGCGAGCGGCCCTGAAATCCTGAAGTGCTGTGTGAGGCATGCGTGGAACGCGTAGACAGACTGTTTAGTCTCGTCAGCCAGTGCACCCCTGGCAGAATCACTTGACAGATTGGCACGGGCTAGCAAATGGCGCCTGTGAGAGGAAAAAGAGAGCGAGATCAGCCACACTTAGCGTATACCTCTCACTATAAGTACGGTGCGCCAAAGGCCGTGGCTTGCAAAGTTGTCAGCTGATAGGATGACTCTGTGCACTTTTCGGGACGGGAGGTAGGCTGAATTGACTTCTTCATTTGGCTTCTTCGGCACTCTCACTCAGTAGGATCTTAGCTGCTCCACCTGTTGGCTGTGGAAAATATTAGTCGGGAGTGAGGTGGTACGTCTAGCGGCAGGTGCACACCGTATCAGTCACCAATATCATCTGCCACCTCTGGTATTTTGGACTCTGTCATGGCACCGGGTACAGATGGATGAGAATGAGAGTCCGGCAAAGGCAGCGCACATTTACAATTACTATAAACGAATGCACGTGCAACTGACCATCCCTGTGCCCACCACGCCTAGAGGCTCATGGTAGATGTCGTCAGCAACGACGGTCGAAGTGCCCTTTATTGCTTTTCTTTTGTCCCCATTCTTGTCCTTAGCGATTATACCTAAGTCACAAGTTAACCTAGATAAATAAACAGCTAGCTGTTTTTTCGGTAAAATAAATATCGTTCTAGGTGCAGTTGGTGTACTACAATTCCGAAGCAATATGTCGTGATTGGCCAGAGTGGTGAACAAATTAAACGGCCTTCAAGTGATGGCAATAAAATAATTACTACCATGT